TATGTAAATCGCAACTCATCTCCTAGTGTGTGTGAGCTCAATACTTGTCATTCTTTCTGATAATCTTCATTTCCTACTTGTTTTCCTACTTGGGTGTAAATCGCAACTCATATGTTGATGTCAACTTGTGTTTAAGTGGTGTGATGTGTATGTTTTGTCTGTTTCTTCATCTTTATGTGAATCACAATTCTTCTCCTAGTGTACTTGAGCTCAAAACTTGTCGTTTTCTCTCGTAATCTTCATTTCCTACTTGTTTCTCTACTTGGGTGTGAAGTGCAACTCATATGTTGGTGTCAACTAATATTAGAGTGATGTAAAGTGCATGTTTTGTCCGTTTCTTCATCTCTATGTGAATCGCAACTCTTCTCCTAGTGTAGTTGAACTCAAACTTGTTGATTTCTCTCATATTCTTTATTTCCTACTTGTGCTCCTACTTGAGTGTGAATCGCAACTGCAACTTTTGTATCGTGGGATGTATGAGTAGTGCAAAGTGCATGTTTTGGCTGTTCTTCCCTTCCCTTGTGTGGCGCAACTCTCCTCCTCATGGTTGTGGGCTTATGTGAGTGTAGTTCTCTCCCGTTTGTCAATACTCACTTGTCCGTCTACTTGGATGATGTTGCAGCTTCAATACTAGTGAAGTGTAGTGGTCTGGGAGTATAGAATGTCTTCATTAGCTGTCCTTCACCGCCGACAGAACGTTGAGCCCTGCTTTCATGTTCTAAGGCTTGCTACCGCACGTCTTCACCCCCCCGTGCTTTATTTGAACGTGGGGATTGGGAAGTGCGATGGATTACTGTTTCCCGATAGTTTGAGAATTTGTTGTGTTTTCTTTTACTGAAAGCTGTGGGAGTGCAGTCCTTGACAGAACCTGGCAAGCATAGACAGCTGACCCGGGGAAAAGACAGGGTAACCACCCGCTGCCGCAAGAATCGCGCGAGAACCGCAAACGAGCGGGATGCGGCCGACGGCACGTTGGTGACGGGGCGGCAGAAACTTGGGGATGAGGGCGGAGAACGCTCAGACCTCATGTTTTGGGTAAAAACAGATGGCCTGCAAACCCAGCAGGCCATCAGACTCCGTTTTTTGAAAAAATCAGAAAATGGACTTCTTCTGAACTGTTCGCCGGAAGCTGGGGAACGCCCGAAACGGGCAACTTGGCCCAAACGATATCAGAACGACACCAAACTTTGTGGAGGTCTTCCCTGTGATATAGTGAGAGGGCCGGCCGAATTTGGTGTGATTCTGATAATGTTTGATGCACGAAACGCAGGCCTGTGCACACTGGATTTTCACCCTAGGCAATAAAAACAGCAAAAGCGGTAAGTTACCGCAAGCAGCGGAATCTGCAGATTCTGCAGACTCCCAGCCAACTGTACCTGCTGCAACTGTGTGTTTTCTGCATATGGACTGTGGACTGTGTACTGTGGGAACTGTTTTTGCCTCCGGGACTAAGGGGTATGGTGGGCAGTGAGCCCGGTCGCTCGGGGTAGGAGGCAACGCGGGGACAAGGGTCACTTTGCACCCCATCACCCCTTCACCGTCACCCGTACCCATCCACCATAACAAACCTTCTTCCACCTTCTTCCACCTTCTACCTCCATCACCCGCACCCATTCACCATAGCCAACCTTCACTTACCTTCTTCCATCTCCATCACCCGCACTCATCCACCATAGCCAACCTTCACTTACCTTCCACCATAGCCAACCTTCACTTACCTTCTTCTACCTCCATCACCCGCACCCGTTTACCATAGCCAACCTTCAGTTACCTTCTTCCACCTCCATCACCCGCACCCATCCACCATAGCCAACCTTCACTTACCTTCTTCCACCTCCATCACCCGCACCCATCCACCATAGC